CCCGGCGGCTCCCGGGACAGGAACGGGGCCGGTGAGGGGACCGGAGGGACAGCGAGGGCTGGGGACAGCGATCCCGGGGAGAGAGCGGCACCTGAGCCCGGTTCTGTGGGGAGATCTCATTAATTCATAGATGTATTTCCAAGGGGTGCCAATAGGGCCGTGCCAGACTCGCTTCAGTGGTGCCCAGTGACAGGATGAAGAGTAAAGGCCACACGACAAATTTCACCTCAACATGAGAAAAACTCCTTGACATGAGCGTGGCAGAGCACTGGGACAGACTCGTCCAGGGAGGGCACGGAGTGTCTCTCTCTGGATGTGAAAAATGCATGTATTTTATGATTGGCTTTTCGCAAATATTAAAATGAATATTGTATGTGTTGTGTTAGAAAGTAATGCTGTATTAATTCTATTAAGTAGTGGGTTAAATATAGTTTTAGGTTATAAAAAATGTTAAAATAGAAACTGTGCTATGTAGGGTACTTTTTTTTAAAGAAAGGATTCGCAGTGACATAGCAGCCACAGGACACCTGAATCTTTCAGAGAAAGAGAATTTATTGCCACTTATCAGGAGAAATGAACTTCCTCCTGCCTCGAAGGCGCTGTCAGGATTAGAAGGAAGAAGTTGAAACTGACCAGACAGAATCCTGTGTTTGAATGGAATTTATGCATCATGGATGAAGTGTATGAATATGCAACAGGCTGTTGTTTTTAAGAGTTAATCCTTTGTTAACGTGGAACGTGGGTCCTTTTTCAGGCTCCTGCTGCCCAGAAAAAGGTACCCAGATGTAACTCTTTGTTTCTATTGTTTCATATTGTCCTAATTAAATTTGTCCAAATTGTTATTACTCTAATTGTATTACTATTTTTATAATCATTTTATTACTATTAAACTTTAAAAATTTTAAAAACAAGTGATTGGCGTTTTTCACACTGGAAAAATGTCAAAGTCACCCTAACCCTCCTGTGTCACCTGCCCCAGGTGACCCTGCCCTGGCCAGGTCAGACTGGGTGATCTCCACAGGGCACTGACAACGAGAGATACTGTGTGGAAAACAGCAATCACTTGTTTTTAAAATTTTAAAAGTTTAATAGTAATAAAATGGTTATAAAAATAGTGATACAATTAGAGTAATAATAATTTGGACAATTGGAGACAATAGAAACAAAGAGTTAGGGACAGTCCAGGTAACCTTTTGTGGGCAGCACAAGCCCGAAAAAGGACCCACATTTACAAAAGATTAACCCTTAAAATCAACAGCCTGTTGAATATTCATACACCTCATACATGATGCATAAATTCCATTCAAACACAGGATTCTGTCTGGACATCGACAACTTCTCCTCATAAGCCTAAGGGCGTCATCCTGCCCCTACGAGGCAGGAAGTTCATTTCTGATAATGGAGCAATAAATTCCCTTTGTCTTTAAGATTTAGGTGTCCTGTGGCTGCTATCTCAGTGTGAGTCCTTTCTTTAGGAAAAAAAGTATCCTACATAGCATAGGATATTCTATATCTATAGGATATTCTATATTCTAGCACGGGTAGGAAATCCTGCCCGAGTAATTCCTCTTGATACTTACTAGCGTTATCAGCAAGTCAAAGTTTACCACGCTGGATTTTATTGTAGCTTTAAAAAGCAGCAATGAAATTATCAAGCGTTTCTTTTATTATAAAGTAGGACTTTTGGAAAACTTGTAAGGAAGTAGTGTAACGGAGATCCTCTTCCACAGCCGGAAGATGTTATAGGATTCACTCCTATGCTGGGGGATTCACCCCTTCTATTTTAACATTTTGTTATAACCTAAAGCTGTATCTACCACACTACTTATGAGAATTAATACAGCATTACCTTCTAACACAACACATATAATATTAATTTTAATATTTGCGAAAAGCCAATCATAAAATACGCATTTTTCACATCCTGTGACTGTCCTTATGACCAACGTTATTGCACAGAGGGTGGTGAGGGCTGGCCCAGAGCAGCTGTGGCCGCCCCGTTCCTGGAGTGTTCGAGGCGGGGTTGGCCGGGGTTCGGAGCAGCCCGGGCTGGTGGAAGGCGGTGTTCGTATGAGTAGAATTAAAAAGGAGAAAGGTCTCGTGTTTATTTCAGTGTAAAATCATCTCCTCCCAGCCCACACCGCTCCATGGCTCCGCCGCCACGCTG